ATGTATACATATTTTGCAGCTGGGAACACAATTGATGTTTCTTTTCAGATTTAACCCATTGGAATTAATTACTCAAAATGTGTATACATTTTTGGGACACCCTGTATGTAAAACCTATATATACAGTATACAACTGTCTTGACCATTTGCTCTTCTAAAAGTTTTGCTGAATTTCAGTAGATTGAAAAATGCTGTGATATCTTTAATTTGTGTTTTTATATAATTCCGTTTCTTTTCCTTAATTAGCTCAGTAATAAACATATTAGTCAGCTTTCTTTTATTTTGCCTCTTTTTGTATAGAACTCTGAAGATGGAAAAACTTACTTTGTCAAGATCCATGCCCCTTGGGAGGTATTAGTTACTTATGCTGAAGTGTTGGGAGTCAAAAGGCCAATTAAGGAGAGTGATATTCTGCGACCGGAGAAAAGCTCCTTCCTTCTTGGGCCTCTGAAGCTCCCAAAGGATGTGAAGCATCCTGATCCGGATTATTTCACTGTCCAATTTAGCAGACATCGCCAGGAACTCTTCCTCATTGAGGACAAGTCAAGCTTCTTTCCATCCTCATCAAGAAACAGAATTGTAGGTAGAGAAGCCATCTGGGCATATCCCTTCCAGTAAGGGATGTGTGCCTTTGTTTTCCTTTATATGTGCGCATGGGCAATACTGTGTCAGCAGGTGTTTCTGTGGAAATTTCGATAATTTATTTAGTGGTATTGGGCATGTTTGAAATTTCACTTGGCCCACTTAAGTGTGTTAACCTCCCTAGTTCTCAAACTATTGTTTAAAATTGAATGGTGGCCATTGTGGACATAGTAAAGAAAGAGACATCATGCAATGCTGGGAAAGGCATTTAATTGAGAACAGGACTTAGATTTTATAAGATATTTGCAAAATGGTTTTATGATCTTAGAGTTTGGTTTTGTAAATTTAGTGCATAGTTGGAGGAATACTGGTTGTTCCAAATGGAAATGGAATGCTTTATATATAGACTAGAGGCCCGGTGCACAAAAATTTGTGCACTTGGGTGGGGGGGGTCCCTCAGCCCGGCCTGTGCCCTCTTGCAGTCTGGGACCCCTCGAGGGATGACCACCTGCTGGCTTAGGCCTGCTCCCCGGGGGATTGGGCCTAAGCTGGCAATCAGACATCCCTCTGGCAGCCCGGCAGCCCTCGGGGGATGTCCACTTGCCAGCGGGGAGCAGACCTAAGCTGCAGTTGGACATTCTTAGCACTGCTGAGGAGGCAGGAGAGGCTCCCACCACCACCGCTGTATTGGCAGCCATCAGCCTGGCTTGTGGCTGAGCAGAGTATGCTCCATGTGGGAGCATACTGACCACGAGAGAGCAGCTCCTGCATTGAGCGTCTGCCCCCTGGTGGTCAGTGTGTGTCATAGTGACCAGTGATTCCCAGTCTTTCTGCTGTTAGGGTCAGTTTGCATATTACCCTTTTACTATATAGGATAGAGGCC